AACTGTACATTAGAAACCGCTTAGGAGGATGAGAAGCAATTTACAGAGTATTTAGCTACAAACAAGGCCTCAGGACATGACAGCAATTGTTTATAGCTGTTAGTCTGTTTTCTGTTGCTATAGCAGAATGTCATATATTAACTTATAAAGAACATTTCTCATGGTTTTTGGAGGCCGGGAAGCCTAAATAAAGGTGCTGGCATCTGGTGAGGACCTTGTCACTATGCCAAAACATGGCAAAGAGCATCAAATGGCAAATTTCTATTCTTTTTTGTGTACATGTTGTGTGTAGGGGTATGCCTTACACATGTGTGTATGCATACCTGTTAGAGGCAAGAGATTGAAGTCCCCAGTCATGTCTCCCTGTACTTTTTTTTTGAAACAAAGTCTCTATCTGAACCTAGAGCTCACTGATTGGCTAGACTGGCTGGCTAGCAAGCCCCAGTGATCCTGTCTTCACTCCCTAGCCAATGCATTCAGCCATATCCAGCTTTTCACATGGGTGCTAGAGATTAAATTCAGGTCCTACTTTGCATAGTAAGTACTTTATGGGCTGAGTCATCTCCCTAGGCTCCCCCCCTCTTTCTTAATCAAGCATGGAGTCTCCACCTTCCTGTCCTCTTTTAACACTAATGACCTTCTGTAGATCCCACCTCTAAACACCACCAACACAAGAACTTAGGCATTAAGTTTCATAGACTGTGGGGATATTCAAATTACATCAGCAGCCTGGACTCTGATTCTCAGTAATGATGACTTAACTAAGCTACTTTTCAATAATGCAGATAGTTCTGTGATAACAGGTAGCTTGCACTGACTGCTCAATGTACTTTCCAAATATGTGCATTATTAGCTGTAGCTGTGTGTAAATATGCAGGCTGGGGAAGGATAACTCAAGATGGGATGATGATGTAGTTGGGACTTTTGTGCCGTATCCCACAGTAATAACTAGGCACAGTCAGACTCTAGGAATGGCATTCTTTAGTGTCTGAGACCAGACTGGCCAAGGATGTTGGTAGGATTGAACTTGACATCTTGATCTGGGGTTCTGTAAGGGAAAATTTCAATGAGACAGAACAGTGAAAAGTAGAGGGTGGAGCAATATTTTGGCTAAGTAACTGGCAGCTAATGATGCCAGACATTGATAATTTCCCTCTTTCCTTCCTCCATTTTCTCTTCCTCCTCCCCCTTTCCTTCCTTTTTTCTTCCTTCTTTCCACTAAATATCTACATCTTTCCCATTCTAAAAAATAAAACACTTTTATTTTACAAGAAAGTGCAAAAAAATCCCTCCTGAACTCTTCTTTCTTTTCTTAGAGATTTGTTGCTTAAGTTGCTTAAAGGGGGCCTTGCATTTCCCAGCTCTTTAAAGTAAGATGTGTCCTTGATTCTAAACATTCTGTTCATCCTGAAGAGCAGCCAAAACGCCTGCCACACTACCGCCTCGTCTACCCTGATGTGATTTCTACATTTGCTCCCCCTCAAAAGCCACACCATTAGCTGCCACTTCCCAAAGGCTGATATCCGTTTTTGGCATCACTTATTACTTCCAGATAGATGTCTTGATGAGTTGTCCCGGAAAACAGGAGCAAGTGAACAGTCACTGTCTTCTGTCTCACTGGCTCTTCACATTAGCTGTGGCCATATTTCTTTAGATTCTGTGTCTCCATTAGGAAGAATACCACGAGCATGCCACACATGTGCGTGCATGCTTTCTGTGTTCAATATGTTAATGAGCCAATAAGGACTTTGTTATGTATATCAGGAAACTTACATGAACTAGAAATGCAGTAAGACATAAATGTGAAATAATACCTGACACATTAATTTATCTTGTCTTATTTCAGTGGTTGTGGGGGCTAATTTTATGGGTCGAGATGGTTGGAGTATTCTGGGAATATGTGGTATGTTTCTGGATAGCATTAACATTTGAATCCTTGCACTGAGTAAGGTGGATTTCCATATTCATTGTGACATGGGCCTTAACAATATACCAAAGACCTGAATAGAAGGGGCCAGGAGTCTGTTATTCATGCCTGACCGCTTGGGTTGGAACTTGGTCTTCTCCTGCCTCGGATTGGATCAGTGCTCCTGGTTCTCAAACATTTGGACATGGATTGAATTACACTGTCCTTGAGAGAGCAGATCATGGGACTTCTCAGTCTATAAATCATGTGAGCTAGTTCCTTAACATAGACATACACATATACATAATATATGTCACCTATGCACCTGTCTTTCTCATCTATCTATCTATCTATCTATCTATCTATCCATCTATCTTCATCATAATCATCATCTATCTATTCATATTTTTCTGTCTTTTTCACCTATGGTCAGCATGTTGAACACACTTGATCTTGTCTGTCGTCTGTCTATATTATATATGTAGATCCATATAATACAATTTTATTGCACTAAAATTTCTCAAAGTTACGGATGTCTTTGGAATAGTTTGTTGGCCCTTGAGGAGCCTCTTTGCACCTGAACATCCTGTACATAGCCAGATTCTAGATCTTGAGTAGATGGATGTGATGAGAAGTGACTTTGGGACGCTTGAAAGAGAGTGAGTGTCCTTTGCTTATAGAAGAGTATGCCTCTTTAAGGGCAATGCCTAACGTTGCTCACAGTGATACTTGTCTCCTCAGATTCAAGCCTTTTTTAGTGCCCTCCTTTTAATCCATCAGGGTTGGTTCATGGGGCCAAAAGAATACAGTGGAGGTGATGGTGTATGGATTCTGAGGCTATGTCCTGGCCACTTTCACCTTGTTTTGTTGGCTTACTCTGTTTAGAGAAGCCAGGTGCTGTGCTGTGAGGAGACACACAAGCAGCCTGATTGGAGGCCCTCACAATAAGGAACTCAGACATCTTCCTCCAGCATCAACTTACCAGCCTGCTGAGTGAGCCATCTTGAGATTGGCTTTTTCATTGCACAGATGTGTCTCCAGCTGTGGCCTCACTTGAGACCCTGAGCCAGAATCACCCAGGAAAGCTAGAGCCAAGTTTCTGATCCAACCCAGCTGTGTGAAATAATATTCATGATCCTACAGTTTAGGATTGACTTGCTATTCACCAATACATTACAGATTCAGACTTGAATATTTGGAGAGGCTGCTTCTCAGATATTTTTGCCCCCTTTGAATGTCCATTTGAACTTCAGAGCCATTGTTAAGTCCAGATCACAGTGTCTGGGTACAAATAATTGCCATTTTATATAGCAATGGTTCCTAAGCATTAGACTTGTAATGCTGGGACCTCAAACACACCAGAGTGAATTCCTAAGAGTTTTCTATAAGTGAAAAAGGGATCCACAGCAAGAAGTGTTGTTCTATCAGTAGAAGTGTGACTTTGCTGCTGCATCTCAAACTTCAAAAGTTTCCAGCATAGCATTTATGTTTCATTAAGTTGGAAAAGGCATTCCACTTGTGGGTAGAAGATGTGAACAGAAAATGTGCCCTGATTGATAGGGATCCTGACATCCTTGAGATCGAGTGAAGACCTCAGCATGGAATCCTGTAGTGAGAGATCCACCCAATCTCATTTGTGGCACTGACCATGCCCATTAGGGCGTGGTCACAGGTACATACGTGAGCCTGTGGTATTTGGTCTTGGGTCCAGGACAGGCTTGCTCTCTCTTGGTTCCAGTTGGGTCTCAGTGTGGATGGGTGGATCTGTTACTACAGAATCCCCAGAAGTGAGTGCTGTGAAGCCTCTCACTGCAAGCAAGGCATAGTTGTAAGCACGGCAGCTCAGATGGAAAGGTATCCTGAGAATCGGGAGCCAAGGAATACCAAAAGGTCACAATAAGTGTAGTGGCTTACAACCCTGCTCCAGGGAAAGGTTTCCCTAATGTAACAACTGTTCCAGAAGGGGAAGGTTTCCCAAGAGAAGTTGTTACAGCTCTGCTCAGGTCCAGCGAAGTGTTACAGCTCTGTTCCACTTAAGGGAAGGATTCCCCAGTGAAAGTGTTACAGCTCTCCTTAGGTCCCCTGGAGAGCAAAAACTCTTCTCTGTTACAGGAAGGTTTCCCCAGCCAAAGTATTACTGTTCTGCTCCTGTTCCACAAAAGTTGTTACAGCTGGCTTTCACTGTGGCAAAAATATCACACTGCACAACAAACCTCACTCAAGAGATTTATTAGGAAGGAAGTATTCAGGAGGGTAGCTGCCTCCAGTGAGAAACAGCAGCAAACTGAACAGGGTACAGAGCTAATGTAGGATTTTGTGTATCTTGCCAGGGTGCCTTAGGGTTGGTGGATCTTTGTGCTCAGGGATTGGTGGGATTTAGTGTTCAGAGGGATCAGGGATCGGTGAGGTTTTGTGCTCAGGGACCTCAGGGATTGGTGGGATTTCAATCCCTATCCTCAGGTCAGGGTCAGGGTGCTTTCCCTTGGCCCTTTTCACTCCACATTAGTCACATGCATTCCAGAACAGTTTTGAACTGAAAAATACAGAAATTACTAGAGATGCTCACTGGCTGATGCAGAAGCTGTTGTTGCAACTGGTGTAAGGCAACCCCCCACAGCAAGGCTTCAACTGGGATGAAAGTAATCTCTCCTAGAAGAAGACAGTCAATGGAACGTCCATTTTTACTAGATGCATAGAACATGGGAAGACAGATGAACTCTTTCAGTGCAGTAGGATATGACAGCACAGGGTGAAAAAATTATGTGGTCTCAAAAAACAAAACTCAAAATATCTGCCCATGTTCTGGTCTGGTAACATGAGCAAAAGTGTAGTGGCAGCCATATTGTTATGGACCATTCCGCTGCCTGAGATACATCTCAGAAGTAAAATAATATTTAAAAGCAAGAGAGATAGGGTTTAAAGTATTGTTAATACTGGACAGTGCACGTGATATTCCAAATCTGTTGGTTATGAAAGGGTGGAAATTGAATTTTTGCCTCCAAATACAACCTTAATGCTTTGGTCCCTTGACTGGGACAGGCTCAGCGTGTCAAGACCATAAACCCCCACTTTGTGTTTGATCTTATTCCATCAGTAACGGAATGTAGTCTGGATATGATGCAGTGCTGGGGACCACTCATGACTGCCCACTGTTTGTCAGAGCCAGAGGAGATGAACTGCAAACAGAAGCCGTGAATGCCTGCTGGAAGAAGAGCACCATGGGATGACGATCAGTGTGGGAAGTTGCAAAGTTAATTTAAAGGACTCCTAGGGAATAATGGGGGGAGTTTGGGAAAGTCATTCATGCATCAGGACAAGTGGGCAGAGGAGGAGTTGACAACATGCTTGATGTAGTTGTTGAACATAATCAAGGTCATTGGGAATGGCTAATAGATGACTTAGAAGAATCAGTTGAATTATCTAAAGGGAAAAGGGAAGATGAAGAAAAAAAAAAAAAGGAAGCCGATCAACAATATAGACATTACCAGAATTTTCTAAAGTTCTTTGGGTCACACTGGAAAACAAACTTTCTGGGATAAGATGCTCAGGTGGACTGCAGTGATGTCATGTGTGTGATCACCAAAGGACCACAGCCTCTCTGCTTCTAAAGGGGTTCTGGAAATAACTTCATCTATAGAGCATACCTGAGCATTCAAATCATTTGCTTCTGACATCCCACCATCAACACTGTCATGGCTGGAGGGAGAAGGGGCATCTGGAACATCCCTTCTTCTACCCTGAGGTCAGTAGTGAGCTGACACATCACAATGTCTATCATCCAGCTTGTATTTTATCATGTAGACATTGTATCATCTCACATCATCACAAGAACAAGAGTGGATAGGGTCCAGCAAGACAGGTCACTGCTCAGTGTTTGCTTTTGTTACTGTGATACCCTGGTGCCCTACATTTCCGGCTCACAGTCCATCACGGAGGGAAGTCAGGGAAGGAGTTCAAGCAGAAACCATTCTTGCTCTCTGGATCACGCAACTAACTTCCTTCTGCCGCCTCCCAGCCTCCCTCCGTCCTTTCCTTCCTAGTTTACTTTTGTTATTTTAAACTTCTGTGTTTGCATGCTGCTCTGTGTGCATGTGATTGCATGTGCCCAGTGAGGCCAAGAGGCATCAGATATCCTGGAGTTGGAGTTACAGGCAGCAGTGAGCTGCCAGAGGTGGGTGCTGGGGGTGCATCACACTTAGGTCCTCTTCAAGAGCAGTGTGTGCTCTTAATCACTGCACCAGCTCTCTAGCTAGTTTCCTTATACAGCATAGGCTCACTCGCCTAAGGACAGTGACGCTCACAGTGGGCTGAGCCCTCCCATGTCAATCATCGGTCACCAATCAAGCAGTTTCTCTATGACAGGGCCTCAGGACAGTCTGATCTGGGCAATCCTACAACTGAGAGTCTCTCAGATAACAGCTGAAGCTAACTAGGACAACCACTTGTATCTATCTTCATATCTCTAGATGTATCTACCTATTGTCTATTTATCCATCTATCATCTGTCAATCCATAATCTATCTCTATCTGTGTAATATATATCTATCTATATCCATCTATCTATCTTTGATCACAGGGTATTTTCCTTCTTCTATTTTATTTTTGTTACTCTCCTACTATTTACATCACAGATTAAACCTTCATATGTGTATAGCAAAAATGTAGTACATATTAGATTGGGTGCTACCAAGGTTTCAGGCATCCTTTGGGAGACTTGAAGTATATCCTCCACTGATAAGGAAGGACAGCTCTATTGCTGGCTATACTTATTGCTAGCCCCTTTGAGAAGAAGCTACCATTTTTGCTTTAGCAAATGGATGGGAGCTTGAGGGATCCTTTTTGGTTTTTTTTTTCTTTACTCACTCTGAAGTTATGCCTGGCCTTCTGCTGTGACTGCCTATGGCGGAGTAGCTCTGACTGAGGCTCAGGCCTGACACCTTTCCTTCCCCTGAGCAGACTGTTTCTGAAGGCCCAGTTACAACTTGAACTTTATGGCTGCTGCTGCTCAATAGGAAGAACAAAGTGCTTCTATGGTCCTCACACAGCCCAGCACAGTATCCCTGACAGCAGAGGAATCTTCCCTCACAGGAAGCAAGTGATCAGCTCTCCAGCTCAGCTGTTTATTGAGGCAGAGCTGCACTTTGTATGTTAGGCTGGACTTGAAGAGGTGACCTTTCTACCTCTGTGTCCTAAGTGCTGGGATTACAGCACACACCCACCACTGTGCCCCATGTATCCTAATCTAAGTCAATCCTGACATCTGCACCCCTGAACTATTGTCAAATATTACAGGATTGTCCCTACTTTAGATGGCAACCCCAAGGAATACATTGCCACTTATGTTTCAGCCCTGAACTGAGGCCCCATGACCCTCTCCTTGACTTCACTTGACTTGTTGGGAAAGCCCACTGAGCTCGGGGAAACACCTGCACTGGTCTGTTGAAAGGATATTAGAACCTGTGGTTCCCATGTCAGACATTTACGTTGTGATTCATAATAGTAGCAAAGTTATGGGTATGAAGTATTAATGAAAATAATTTTATGATTGGGGGTCACTGCAACATGAGGAACTGTATTAAAGGGTCATGGTATTAGGAAAGCTAAGAACCATTGATACAGATGAACAGTCAAGATGAAGAGACACGTTACATGAGGATGGGGAGGACACAGCTTCCGTGTCCTCTGCGATCTTTTAGAAACTGTCACAGGCTTGGGGACCTGGACTTTTCAAATCCAGTCCTTATATGCAGTTTTCTAAAGACTTTGTTCTGTAGGCATGAGTGACTCAGTCAGTGGCTATGATTATCAACTTATCTTTTGTAACACCCGCCCTCACCCCAGACTGCCAGTGGTGCTGGACTCCCAACTTTCTAATCATGTGCAGTCCGATTTTTCTTTGGTCCACCACTCACAAATAACAACACAGAGACTTATTATTAATTATGAAAGCTTGGCCTTAGCTTAGGCTTGTTCTCAACTAGCTCTTACAAATTAAATTAACCCATTTATATTAATCTACATTCTGCTCTGCCATGTGACCTTACATTTCTTCCAACTGCTCTGTTTCCTCTCCGTGTCCCACTGGCAAGCCCTCATGCCTAGATTCCTTCTCCTTAGGTTCCTCCTCTTAGTTTCTCCCTTTCTGCCCGGAAGTCCCACCTATCCTCTCCTGCCTAGCTATATTAAACCAATCAGACGGTGCCTTAGGAAGAGACACATCATTACAGTGTAAATAAAATATTCTGCAACAGTCATGCTTTGATCTTTCCTGTGACCAGTGACCATTCTGTAGCTCCTCGGGGCTGCTGGCCACTAGCAACATAGAATAAAGAACAAGCCCAAGGATTTTTGGGCTATTGTACCAGGAAACAGAAGGAGACCAAGCATATATTCTGCAGTCTCACAGTGATCCTCTGCCACGGCATCTAACATGCTGTGGTCGAGGGTACATGTTGGCTGCCTTCAAATGATAAGGCAACAACTTCTGCTCCCTTTTTCTTTGAAAGGTTGTCCTTGACTCTCCTGTTGTTTAAGCATTGCTTTCTTCCCTCCCTACCTGCTCAGCTTAACTGCCACCTCTATAGAGAGGCTTCTCCAAACACCGACCTCTACTCTCTCACCATTGTCTGTTTTCTTCAAGAGACTTAGCAATATTGCAATATATTTTTGTCTATCATCTAGAAAACACACTACTGTAGTGCAAATACCTGAAGGGGAAGGACCTTGACCATCTTGTTCCTAGGTGTACCTTCAGGTCATACCAAGAGAGATACTTGAGAAAGTGCTCAACATCTTTAGCCATCAGAGAAATGCAAATCAAATCAACTCTGACATACCATCTTTCATTTGTCAGAACACCAAGGACAGTTTATGCTGGAGAGGATGTGGAGAAAAGGGAACACTCCTCCACTGCTGGTGGGAGTGCCAACTTGTACGACCAATTTGGAAATCAGTATGGCAGTTTCTCAGGAAAATGGGAATCAGTCTACCTCAAGGTCCAGCAATTTTACTCTTAGGCATATACCCAAAAGAATGTTCATTCATACAAGGACATATGTTCAACTATGTTCATAGCAGCGTTATTTGTAATAGCCAGAACCTGGAAGCAACCTAGATGCCCCTCAACCGAAGAATGGATGGAGAAAATGTGGTACATTTACACAATGGGGTATTATTCATTGAAACAATGAAATCTTGAAATTCACAGGCAAATGGATGGAACTCGAAGAAAACATCCTGAGCGAGGTAACACAATCATAGAAAGACAAGCATGGCATGTACTCACTCATATATGGATACTAGGCGTAAGAAAAGGATTACCAGCTTACAATCCACACCACCAGAGAAACTAGGAAACAAGGAGGACCCCAAGAGAAGAATGCATGGTCCCCCGAAGAAGAGGAGGGGGGACAAGACCCCCTGAGCTGTGATGCTTGGATGCTGTTTTGCGTTTGTCTGTGGGGTGGGTGTGTTGTGCTTCATAAACCATCAGTTGGCTGGGGAGTGGTTGTGGCTGTAGTAAAACATGTTGTCTCCCTGTTTCCCGTTGTTCCATGAATTAGCAGTGCTTATTCCCCAAACGGTGTTTTACAAAATTGAAATGATAGTGTACCTTGTGTATAGCATTCTCATTTAGTTTTTCTTTTCTCTTTAAATGCTGCCTTTTTTCTCCTCTTCCCAATCTGCTCACTCTTCTGTCCTCTCATATGGTTATAAATACCTGGGGATCATCTTTCATATCATGTGTGCATACATTTGCTTTACACTGTCTGAGATTATGGTTTTCTCTGTCCCTGGTGACTGTTTCTTATGATTCATTTCCCTATAGTGTTGGCCATATTTTTATGTGAACTCATCTTTTTGTGTGAGCTCATCTTCGTGAGTTCAAGCATTGTTTTCTGGGGTGTCCTCTTGTCTAGATTATCTTGTTTCTCATTTACTCTTTAGGGACACAATGTGTTTAAGTGGTCCTAACAATTTTTTTGAAATAAAAAATTATGTTTAGGGGCTGGAGAGATGACCAGTGGTTAAGAGTAGTTCTTCCTCTTGCAGAGGAACCAGGTTGGGTTCCCAGAACCCACATGACACCCCATTCTTGGAGTCGCTGGCTCACTATTCAGTTCTGCCCCCCTCTCTCTACTATCCTTCTTCCTCGTGTTTGGTTTATATAAACGCATGTGCATATGTAACACCCTGTGTTTGGGGCCGGAGTGGGAGGGATAGGAAGAACACATGTGCTTTATCTTTCTGGTGTCAGTTTTTGAGAAAAGATTAAATGTGTTATTTTACTCTCATGAAAATACTCTGTGCTTGTTAAGACTCTGATGAAACAAAAGGTTGCAATTGTATTAATGGTCTGGGTAAGGTTGATAGCGTAGAGACGGGATAAGGCACAGTGGGTGGGGTTGGAGGGCTGACAGAGCTTCCCATTTCACTTTGACTTTACTTTCTACTCACATTTTTCTTTGTAACTAAAATTTCAGATTTTAAACAGAAGGGCGAATAGCAATGACTCTTGCTTTAAGAGAGCCAGATCCATGCGGATTTGGATTTGCAAAGCAAACAGGTTGGGTAGGATGCCATCCCTGAGTTACATAACGCTCAGTAACCCGTGTGTTGAATAAAGTCAGCTCAGAATCATTTTGCTCAATAGTGCTGGGGTGGCTGGCAGAAATACAATCCACACAAGTAGGTACAACAAACCTTCATTTAGGAAACGTTTCCCCAACACGGGTAACATCGAATTCGACTGGTGAGACTGTCTGTCCTCACGTCTACTCTCTGATAGGCGACTTGAACAAAGGCAGCTGTACATTCTGACACCACACAATGGGGTCTCTGAATTATTAGCAGCAACATTTTCAATAAGTTTTCTTGTCCTGGATTTAGACTACAGGCAGGCATTGATATTTTTCACATTAGCATCTCCACGCTGAGTGCTACTGTAATGGCATCTCGTGTCATGCGACTCTGGGGGTCTAAATGAATTATTTTTTTCTAGAAATGTCTGCTCCATGTGGTGTCCCCCACGACTTTTCACAATTTCCCCCACGTCTCTGTTCCAACAGACGATTCCCTATCTCATTTCATCTGTCTGCAAGAGATCACCACAAGCCACAACATGAATTGCCATCTAACTATACTGTAAATTGGTTATTTAAAAACTGGAGTCTACACTCTTGATAACCAAAACTAAATTAGGGGAAGGGCCCAGTGCTCAAAGGACAAAAATCTATACTAATTAAAAAAAAACCAAAAACCAGCATAGGATTTCTTGACTGTTTTTCTGCAAAAGAAAGCCATTGTATTTCCATTCCTGGCCATGTCAGCCGTGAAGGCACCCCTGCACCCCCGTCATTTTTTTCCCAGGCATTGATTGCTGACTTCCCCTGACACCCCATCACAACCCATTAGTACTGAAAACTGACAGGCCCAGCTGTAGCAGCAAAATGGCAAGTTTGAAAGAAAATATCGGAAGCACCAGGCAAAAGCTCAACTATTAGGACCCACACAAGGCTCAAATGCAGCAATCCCCTCTCCCCACCCCCTGGACACCTTGAGAGAAGGTCAACCGAGTCAGCAGGTTTTCTTGAACCTGGACTCCAAGGACTTGAGGAAATTAAAAGGAGTGGTGTTCCCCTCCCCTTTCTTTCCGTTTTTAAAGGGATTGGGTTGAGGAAGTGCTTTTGCTGTGACTATGGGTCTTTACAGTGCTTCCTTTCAGCCTGAAGTCTCTGAGACACTAGGAGTCCAGAGCTGGGCAACTGAAGGCCACCCTCAGAACCATGGCAGGCTTCTAAGTTATGAGTTGTCTTCTTTCTACTTGGATGGTGTCAGCATTCCGAGAGTCACCTCGATGGCAACATCCCCTGTGACTGCACAGTTGACTGCCCAGGGGAGAAATGAGACAATTCCACATGTCCAGTAGGCCTTGCGTTTGTAGACACAGATGTGGAAGAGAAAGAAGCCAGTGTGCCGGGCTCTTCAGAGGCAAGACCCAGGTCAGAAGGCCAGATGCAAGTGTTCTATAGTCAACGCCTGGGAGATGGGCTGACTGGAGAAACAGCGGTCATCATCCTCTAACTGCACAGAGTCAAGAGCAGACAAGAATAAGTAGTCCCAGCACTCAGGAGGCAGAAACAGGCAGAGCTCCATGAGTTTAAAACCAGCCTGAGCTACATAGAGAATTCCAGGTTAGTCAGGAGCTACACAGTGAGAACCTATCTCAATATTTTAAAAAAGAACTTGGCCTGATTGTATGCATGTTTACATAGTTTAATGTGTGTCAATTATAGGAAGGAATAAGAGAATAAAAAATTAGAGACTGGAAGACAGCAGAGTCAATGAAGGACTTGCTCTTAGACATGAGTTTGCTCTCCAGTATCCATCTGGAAAAATCTGGGTTCAGTAGTGCACGCTTGTAATCCCAGAACTGGGGAGGCAAAGACAAGCAGATCCCCGGGGCTCACTGGCCAGGCAGTCTAGCCAATGAGAGACTTTGTTTCATAAAGAAAAGGTGGATGACTTCTGAAGAACAACGCCTGTGATTGATCCCTTTGGTGTTCACCCACCGAGTCATCTCCTGAGCCCCTGAAGCTGTGACTATTAAAACAACCACACGACCACTATCTTTAGTGTATTCCAAATTGTAGCTAAAGTCTGTATCAATGAAATTTTTAAAAATCATTTTCAAGACAGGTTTGTATGTGACCAGAGGTTATGGAAATATCTAATTCTGTCAGTGTTTCCAGATAAAAATCACTTATACGTGTAGCTAAGTGCATGTGTGCATATAATATATTATATATATATATGGATTGTTTGTATGGATATATGTATATACATATATTCACAAGGACACAAGCAGGCATGTAGATACACATATGTATAACTTGGTCACTTATGTTTATATACATAGCTCTACACTCCTGTATCTGTGGATGTAAATTACCTAAAGAGAGTCTAATTAGCACTTGGACCTGATGCAACTTGAGGATGCCATTTCAACTTGCAAAGGAGATGCCCGTTATGAAACAGATATCAACACAAACCGTTCAGAAAGCTTTATATACTTACTGGGCATAAAAAGGAATCTTAATTTGATTTGTGAAACGACTGTCTCTGCAAAGTTCTAAGTAAATACAATCTTATTTAAAATGCACTGGGAGGAAAGACAAATGGCTAATTACCATATGAAAAATGCTCAAACTTATGAGTATCAAAGAAATGTAAATTAAATGAGCATTGAGGTTTTTTTGTCTATCAAACTGGCAAGCTTAAAACATTATTATACTCAGAGTTTGTGAGGATGAACATTTGTTGAGAGAATGCTTTGGCAATAGATATGTGTTTGTATATGTATTTAAAATGTTTATATCCATTGTCTAAGTAATTCTACTTCTAGGAGTTTTTCCTAAGGAAATCTTAAAATATTTATCATGCAACATTATGTAGAGTAGATACAAATTTACAGCTCCATAATTGGGGAATTAGGGATGTTATGGTAGATGCATAAGATATATTTATATCATTATACACCTCCGTAGAACCATCTAGATACATTAGATAATAAGGCAAGACATAACCCTGTCTATTACATTAGTGTCACAACATCACGAAGCAGAATTAAAAAGCCTGGGAAGCACTGTTTCAGACATTGACTGTCGTGATGAAATAGCATTTCTGTTGCCTTTTTCTTTTTTTGTGGTTCCAGACTTTTCCAAGGGTAAGCCTATTTGTAAGAAGCTGAAATGCAATAATTTAAACATGGATTGGGTTGGAAAAGAAGTCCAAACAAGCAGCAACAGAAGTTTCCTTTTTGTTCCACGTGGAGGAATTAGGAACAACAAAGGGACAGAAGTTAGCTCTGCCAGGCCATG